CCAGCTGGAATTTCAGACTCAATTAGCACAGAGACAGGCTGGAGCTCTTGAGAACTAATCACCTCGAAGCTGCCAAGAGGGCGCTTCACCTGGGGTGTGCCCAGGACTCCGAGGCTCAGCTCCCGAGCGCTGGTAACATCAAGCGCCGACCCGCAGTTTGAAATTCCACTCGAGAGTGACTTTCTGAGTTTCCTTCCACCAACCGAGGGAGCTGGGGTGGGGACGAAGGGAGGAAGGATGGCGGGACAGGGGAAAGAACCCTGCCTGTCCCAAAACGTGAAGCCTAATTACCCCCGGAGCAGATGCACGGGGGGCTGGTGGCAGCAGGTGCGTCCTCGCAGCGGGCAGGGGAGCCGGTGGACGGGAGTCGGCCCACGCTTTCCCACCAGACGCCAGGCCGTGACAGCGGAGACGCAGACGCCGGGAGGCACAGAGCAAGGGGAGCCACTGTCCCCTCGCTGCAGACCTGCCAAGGACCACCCCCCGCTTTCAGGTTGCCGGAGGTTCCAGATCTCGTGAGCATCCTGGTGGCTGAAGCCGCCGCCCCTTCCCCTCCCAGCTGGGGTGACCTTAAAAGGCTCTGAATTTAGCACCGGGCCCACACCCGGACACGCCACGCACACGGCAGCCTTCGCTCGCTCACACCGCACGTCACCAGCCCGTGCCGGCAGCTTCCCGTCAGTGGTGTGAAGTGTGAAAACGGCACTCGACACCAAAAGGCCGACTCCCAATTTAGTCCAGGAAAAAATCTGGACAGCCTTTCACAGTCCTCCTCGTTCTGCTCCCTTAGCGCCTCACAGTCGCCCTGCTGACGAAGTCACCTGGCCGGCAGAGGGGGTGGGCGAACCACCGCCGCTGACCGCCAGCTCTGGGCAGAGCAGGGCTCAGCCCCTCTGCCTCTGGGAGGGGGCGGGGAAGCTCTGCTGCCGGGTGTCCGGCCAGTCGGTTTATTGCTGCGCGACACCCTCCAGCTGGTTCCTCGTGGACACGGCAGGGGAAATACCAGGCACCCACCTGGGCTGAAATCGGACGGCATATGTGACGCGCCAGGCACGGAGCAGGGGCTGAGCTGGCAGGCCAGTGATTAAGTCACATAAAATACTGCGCCGGCCTGGCCTAGAGAGCACCCTTGGGCAGTCTGAGTGATGCCTGGACAGCACACACATTGACGGCCACTCCCCTTTCTCTGAGAGGCACCAGGACAGCTCGGGGACATGGTGACGGCACTCACCGCGGCAGCAGGCCTCCCAGCTTCCTGCATAATCCACTCTTTTGGACCTGTGCCGGCCCACCCCCAGCCTGCTTCTGCCAACCCCAGGTCAAGACGCTCTATTTTAATGGCTGACACACAGGGCCAGTCTCTCTGGTTTGTGTCCTTAAGCACCAAGCGCTCGGAGACTTGGCAAAGGAGCCCGTGGCCCTTCCTGTCCCTCTCACGGGTCCAGCCTGTGGCACAGTCCCTTTCAGCTTCCTCTTCTCAGGACTGTCAGTGAAGGGAGGGCCTTAGAGGTCGACTGGCCCAAACCCTGTATGTCTTTCCCCCTCTTTTAATTAGGGAAAGTAAAAATATAAAGAGAGAAGCAGAATAGCACGCATCGCCCGCATACCGGGCCCAGCCTCCGTGACCACCACTCATGGACGATGCTGGCTTCCCTCGAAGCCCCCAGCACCCTCCGGCCCTCCTCCATCACCCTCACTGGACCACCAGCCCTGCGCCTTACAGAAGAGGGCTGGGGTCTAACGAGGGAGAGGGGCTTGTCCGACTCCTGTGACTGGACGCGGGAGGCCGGAGGCCAGGTACTGGCCCACGTGTGTCCGCCCCCAGTCACTGGCCCGCGCCCCCCGTACTACTGGCTATCATCCCACTCGCCCTGGGCTATTACTTAACATTTTTCTTCGATGGTCTCACTCCTTTTCGCCTTTAAAACGGAAACTTTGTATTGCTCCCATAAATGGGAAGCAGGCATCGTTTGCCACAGATAGAAAGTATTACTAAAGATGACACAGAAAAAGAATTAAAAGTCATTCAATTCTAAGTAGAAAGTACTGCCTGCCCAAGGCTCTGCACTCTACCGAAAATGAGTCTACGGCCACGCCACCCCGAACGTGCCCGATCCCGTCTGCCCTCAGAAGCTAAGCAGGGGCGGGCCTGGTTGGTACTTGGATGGGAGACCACCTAGGAAGACCAGGTGCTGTAGGTGTAAAAAATAAATCAAGAGGGCTTGGCGGGAGTTAGAGGCCACTGGGACCGACGGGGACCCACTCGGACCTGCAGAAATCAGGAGAGTCAAACGGGTAAGAATGCAAACGGCTTCTAACAATGCGATTCCCCGCTCCCACGGGCACGCCGGCTGTCAGGGGGCTGTTTTTTCACATTTGAACATCTCTCACATGTGCTGTCAGCCAGCTGGCACTCACGACGTCCTTGTCACGTGCACATGCTCCATCTCTGGCCACACTGTTGTCACTTCACATGAGTACGTGCACCTATCGTCCTGTACGGGGTCGGTCTACTTGCCATTTAAGTATCTTCAAAAAAATGTGCAGCGAAGAGACAAACTGTTATTACGGCAGGGACCTTTATGCGCGGGGGACGCATCCTGGGACCCCCAGTGGGTGTCTGAAACTGTGAAGAGTACCAAACCCTGTGGAGACCATGCTTCTTCCTACATGTTCACGCCTATGATAACGTTTAATTCACAAATGAGGCACAGTCAGAGATTAATAACCATAACGTAATAAAATAGGACAATTATAACAATATACTGCAATGGAAATCTGAGAATGGCTCCGGAGCCACGAAGCAAACGGAGGGCGACTTGGAGAAAAGCACTGGGGTACGGTGACAGTCGATCTGATGACCGAGACGGCTACCGAGTGACTAACGGGCGGGGAGCCGCTGGACGGGACGGTCCACGTGCCGGGCAAGAGGGAGCTGGACAATTTAAGACGGCGTCGCACTACTCAGAACGACACGTGATGTAAAACTGAAGAATTGTTTATTTCTGGAGTTCTCCATTTAGTATTTTCAGACTGCAGCTGACCAGGGAAAACTGAAAACGTGGAAAGCGGCAAGGTGGATACGGGGCTGCTGTAGGTACCCGAGGTCCTCGGTTCTGTGTTTTCTTACAAAGCGACAGACGAGCGTGTGTTGGACCAGAGATAGGGAGCTACCTGTGAATCAGTGAGGCTGTGTCGTGTTCTGTGGCTGGAGCCTGGGAAGGTGCCTGTCACACGACAGACAATAACACTCGAGGCAGGAGAAAATGCCAACCCCCTTGGAGGAGATGTAAGAAATTTCAGAGCAACGAAAGGCTGGCGTGACTGATCCACGTGTCACGCAGGCTCATCGTTAGGCCTGTGCTATGGTTTAATTGGCAGCGTGTTTTTCTTTCTTACTGGTTCATAAAATAATGGTGCATCTTCTGAGCACTGGCATCCTAAATGTGATGAGCCGCAGCATTTCATCTAAAGTTACCTGCTGCACATCAACGCGCCCGCGTCACACCATGCCGCCCAGCACACCTCCCCAGGTCGGGTGCCGACGGCCTGCATCCGTCACCGGGGAGGCTGATGCATAACTGCCCAGCACAGCTCCCCAGGTCGGGTGCCGACGGCACGGCCACCTCTGTCGGGCCTGCATCCGTCACCGGGGAGGCTGATGCATAATTGGCTTGCTGGCCTCCCCCTCCAGGGCATCTGACTCAGTCGGTCTGTGGGGGGGAACCTGAGGATTTGTGACCACACTTGGAGTGGCACTGTCTTATCGCTCCCACCATTAAGGCCCCTCCGCCCTCTGACTGCTTTCAGCCTGGTGGGGGGTCGGGGTGGGTGGGGGAGTGTCTGCGTGGTACTGGAATCCAGGTAGGAACCACCCATGCTTTTGGACATGTCAGAGGGTGGCATCTCTGGCTTAGTTCATTGCAAGGACGGCAGAACTTGTTGTGGGGGCTGGGCCGGGACAGCTCTGGGAGGCGTCCCCGTCCTTCTCAGGCAGTTCGCCAGCTCAACGCTTCTCCGTACAAACTGAGGCTATGGCTTTTAGAGATGGGCTCGTGGCCCTGGGCGAACTCGGCAGACTGGGCGGGAATCTGCGCAGTGACGTTCAGGCACACCTGTCAGGCCTGCTCACACGGCTCTTGCTGGCGACACGGGCAGATCCCTTTCCCTTTGGGGTGTGTGCATTACTGGTTTAGTAAAAAGAAACATCTGTGCACTTTTTTCTTCAAAAAGGACATTCCGTTTTTCAAGCCGCCAAAACGTCTTTGGGATGGAGTATTTGTCAACACTGCCCTCTCTCCCGAAAGCAAGAAGCAGGGACATGTGTCCTCATAGAGAACTATGTTTTAAATGCAGATATTACTCATTTTTTTCTTCAAGAGGCCCGGATTTGCTCACATGGTCATTGATTCGAACGTACAAGGTGCTTTAAGAAACAGGAGACAAAACCTTGTCCTGGGTACAAAGGTTTATTGTTTATAAAAATAAGTTACACAACAAAACAGCCAGCACGACACCATCTGTGAGCACGAGGGCTTACACGAGGACGCGGAACACGGGCCCTGGGGGTCGATCCCCGACACCGCTCACACACACGGAAGGACATGCTGCGTAACTCCCCTGTGCTGAGTTCCGAGAAGGTCTCTGCCCTCCACGTGCCGGCTAAAGTGTCTCACTGGTCCCCTGCACACGGAGACGGGACCTGTCGCCCCGGAAGCTCGGCCTTAACGAACATGCTGTTTTACAAAGGCGGGGAGGGGCTGCACGGACGCCAGGTGGCGAGGAAAGGCGAGCCCTTGGGGTGCTCGGGGCTCCCCCGGAAGCTGCCGGCGGCGGGGCGGGCGGCGTTACTGCCGGCAGGTGTCGTGGAAGGCTTCGAGGGTCCGGAAGTCCCTCCATGTTGGGGGAAGGCCATCCTGCAGGAACTTCCCGCAGCGCAGGCATGGGGCCTGGAACAGCTTTATGTAACTTCGTAACCAGGTCTAAAAAGAGAGTAAGGAGAGAATGAAAGGAACGGAAGCCGGGCACCTCCAGCGTCAGCCTTCCTGTCTGAGCCTCATGGCCTCGGGGACAGAGAACCCGAGGTGGCTGTGACTCCAGAAGATGCCCCGTGATTTTACAGAAGGCTGCATGCGGAGGTCACGGCAAGGTCACAACACTGCTGATTCTCAGCGCTGCCGCTGCCCCGGCCCCTCCCACCTGGGGGAGGTTTTAAATAGAAATTCGTACTCTCAAAGGCAGGAAGTGCTCCCGGAGGAGGGGCCGTGACCCATCCCACAGCCTTGTGGCTTGGGGGGGCCGCATGTGGCCACATTTCATTTCTGAGTCCTGTGTCTTCTGAATATTAGTATCGATCCTCTCCTGCTCACGGCCAAGAAGTGGTCACAGGTGCGTGCGGAGGAAGATGCTGCGCAGACGTCCATGTGAGGCTTCTCCCTGAGGTCAACATGCCTTCTTTCTCATCAGATTTCAGAGGTCATCTCTCATGGTCACGATGAGGCCTGACACGCCTGGGGGAGGGCGGGGACAACCCGCTGCCACCAAATAACGTAATAAGCGGCAAATACACACTCGTGTGGGTCAGAGTGCAGAGTTCTCTCGGGCATCATACATAAGTATGAGACTCATAATTCAATTCTTGAACTCGAGGAGATTCGCTACCAAAAAAAAAAAAAAACCCACGCGACCCGAACCCTACACAACAGGTAAGTTCTTCCTGTGACGGGGGCACACGAGTCCTGTCATTTAACGTCCTCCCGAGATTACATCGATAAGAGAAAACTGTTCTCTGAAGAGGTGGACCGAATTTATTGTGACATATCCTTCCGTCTTCACCACAGTGGCTTTCGTGGTGGCAGAGCCCACTGAGCCTGTCCCCCTTCCAAAGGCCAGGTGTTGGAGGTTCGGGCAATAAACAGGAGGGGGTGAGTGGATCATCAGTTAAACTGTTTCTCCTCCGGGGCTGATCTAGCTCAAATCCTCCCCAAAACCCAAAGTCAGTCACCCAAGGAAAGTGGGTGTCACCGCATGTCGGGTTAAAAAGCGAACCTCCGCATCTATTCAGAAGCGGAAGAGCTCGCTGCAGACGCTCGAGTGACTCGTCCTCTCGACACACGAGTGAAGCACCACGTGGACGGCCCTGCTGAGCGACTGGGTTTGCTCGTCCACCTCCCCAGCACCGTGAAGCCAGGTTCGTGTCTTCTCAGAAATGAGCTACGGCAGCGGTCCCCAACCTTTGTGGCACCAGGGACCAGTGCTACTATGAGAATCTGATGCCTGAGGATCCGAGGCGGAGCTGAGGTGGTGGCGCTGGCGCTGGGGACGGCTGCAGATGCAGATGAAGCTTCACTTGCTCCACCCCCTAACCCCCACCCCGCCACTCACCTCCTGCTGTGCGGCCCGGTTCCTAACAGGCCAGTGGACTGGCACTGGTCCGCAGCCTGGGGACTGGGGACCCCTGAGCTACAGGCCCTTTAAGAAGCTTAACTCTTGAGGCAAACGTGACCGGATGAATGGCAGGAGCAACAGTCCCCCGAGCTGTCCACACTGATTTGGACTTGCTAACGAGTAAGTCCTTCGAGTAGGGTCTCTAACTGGCAGTCTTTCTAGCATGAATTAAAGAGGGAGTTTCAGCAGCAGTGGAAGATGGAGCCTATTGACATGAGCGCTTAAAGCCGTGTCAGCATGACGTTCGAACAGCTGGCCGGTCCTGTCGGGATGTGGCAGAGCCCGTTGTCGGCCCTGCTCAGGCCACGGTGGTCATGTGACGGATGTGGGCAGCAGTGCGCTGGTGGGGGCGAGTCCTGCCTGGTAGCGTTTCCATGGTGTGAACACCGGGGTTCGACTCCAAGCTACCAATGGCTGAACGATCAGCTTGCACAATCCTGAACATTTCACGAGAGCTGGCAGGAGCTGCCTCCAGCAGCACGTGGACCAGCTGCTCTGGGGTCACTCTGCACCCCGAGCTCTGACTCTGAAAATCTAAGGACTAAATGCCTTGGGGGAACGGCAAGATTTGTCTTAGTCACTGCAACCTGCTCAGCGCCAAGCACAAGGCCTGGCGCTCAATAAACATCTACTGACGAAATCGGTGCTGGGAACCGTGCTGAACATAACTGCTTGGCGACAGCAGGAGGGCACCGGGTGATTAAGCCGGAGCGGCTTCTCCCAGGTCCCGCCCCGGCTTAAGGAAACCCCGGCTCCGGGTGGCCGGCCGTCTCCCACTGCAAGACCCGAGGAGGCAGCCCCTGCCTGCCCAGCGCCCACTCTCCCAGGGTTAGATGGGGGCCGGAGCCCTCGGGCCACTCACCATGAAGGACCTGACCACAACGTCGGGCATCTGGGGCAGCTGATAGTGCAGCAGCGCGGTGGTGGCGTGGTCCGTCACCTGGGGACGGGGACAGAGACCGCAGTTAGAGCCCACTCCAGGCTGGCACGAGGCAACGGGACGGACGCACACGTTCCAGATGACAGACAAGCCTGCCTTTGAGCAAACGCCTCCTGGAGGAAAGGACATCTAAAATAAAATCTGAGCGGGAGAATTGGTCGGCGGAGCTGGGGCGGGGAGGGGGTGCCGTGCAGGAGGGAGGAGGGCAGCCAGGCCTGAGGCAGGTGGAGCGCAGGACGTGCCAGCGTCTGGAAACCGGGCTGGCTGGAGCACCTGGGGGGGCGCGGGTGGCCGGAGGCCGAGACGTGGGGGCCGCAGAGGGGGGGCCCCCCAGCCCTGCAAAGGGGCACGAAGGGGCGATTCTGATCGCCCACATCCAGCAGCAGAATTGGTCTTTATCGTTCCTCTCATTCTCATTCTGTCTCATTATGTGTGGCTGTGTAGGTTCTATGATCAGGAATCTGGTAATTTCTGATGATCTTCCCCTTGGGCCTCACTATTATTACCCCTCCCAGGGCCCCTAAACAGCTCTCTGAAGGGTGCGTCCGTCTCTAGCAGCGGGCAGGCCACGCCCATTGTCCCAGGCAGAGGCTTTTCCAGCTCCACTAGAGGCAGTGGGGACCGGAGGCCCGCACACCCGGTACAACCCCCTCCCCTCTCTGGGGCACAATGAGCCCTCTGAAAAACAAAGGGCTGGTCTAAGACCCCTTGTCGTTCTGAAATTTGATGACACCACAGATTGCTAATGCCTGCCATCAATCAGCAAATTAACAGGTCACATCTAATTTGATGGTTATGTTCGAACACATGGTTTATTTGCTTATCCTCATTAGGGACTCTTGCTGTTACAAATGCTGTGGTTAGAAAAAGTGAAACTTCGTGCACAAGAACAAACGCGGGTCGACAGTCTGCCCGTGTCGACCGGTCAGTTTCCAGCCCCCGCCAGAACGCTGTGTGACTGTGCTAAGGGCCTCCGAGCAGTTGAGCCAGGCAGAGAGAACCGGAAGGGCTGGTCCAGGCCCCGCACTCAAGGCCAGGAGGCCGCACCCCTAAGAGTGAGGACGCAGGGTCCCCAGTGCACAGAACCCTCGCGGTCCCTCTCTGAGCCTCAGCTTCCCCTGGGTGGAATGGCGGTGCACGTGAAGCCCACCTCCCCTCTCTATGGCCCTGAACTTGCTCTCTACCCCCACTGGACTGCCATGGCCTGCTTGGTGGCTGGTGAACACTGCTGGGTGAATTGTGTGGGATCACGCTGCGTCCCCAAGGCCTAACGTCACCCAGCATCTAGGAGGTGCTCGATACATAGTTGTTGAATAAAGAAGTAAACTTAAAAACGCCCACTCACCAAAGGCCATGTACCAGAAACACCTGTTCTGGCCTTTCTGCAAATACAGCAAACAGGTCACGTAGGTAACAATGCTGAGAAATTCTTACCCAAGTGACTTTTAAGATAAATGGTACTTATTCCTTCAAGCGCAAAGACTTTTTATTTTAAGCATTTCTGACAGACAGCTTTCTAAAATGAGCAATTTTTTTTTTTTAAACAGTAGTAGTAACTTGGTAAAATGGCAGGTGGTGATTGGTGGGGTGAAATTAACTGCTACAGAGCAGCAAAGCACACTCGACCCCACTGGTACCCGGGCTTAAAGGCTTGGTTGTACCCCTTCCAAACGCCTTGCCAAAATAACAACAAACCACAGCAACAAACACACAAGTGCCATTTTATAAAAGCTGATAAGACATTCCTTATAATCACATTTGCCATTATAAAAAAAAAAGGAAGTTTCTGGAAAACTCGTTCTCCTATCTCCACCATTTATTTTGCCCCCAACAAAGCCCTATGCCACACATGACCGCTGTCACAGCAGGGACGCCAGGCTGGCTTTGCTTGTTGGTGGCCCTCCTGCCCCTGGCTCTGGGTGTTTGTCGTTCCCAATGCCGAAGGTCCCTCTCCCACCCGGGTCTCCTGGCATGAGCCTAGGTCCGTCTATTTCAGCAGCTCGAGCGCCTGGCCTGGGGCCTGACTCTCTAATCACAGTGGATACCCAGAGGCCGCCGCCCAGGCCGGGATGCTTTGTTTAGCTGCGCACGGTCTGTGCTTTTCTTTTGACAATTTGTAACACGAATGACCAACATTTAAGTTCAGGAAACTTGACCTGACTTGGATCTCTGGCTTCTCGTGAGTGCCAGAGGACTTGGGGGAGGCCACGGGACGTCTGACTCGCAGGTCACTTGAGGGGGAAATGAGTCCAACCGTGTGACGTGCTGGCGCAGGGCCCTGCTCCTAACCATTGTGTCTGACATACCCAAGTGGCCGCCATCAGCGGGAGCCCAGGAGGGACAGGCTTTCGGGTGGCCGTGCACCTGCAGTTTGCCCGGTGTCCCCAGGGTCTGCTTCACTCATGCTACCTGCCTGGCCCTGGTGGCTTTTGCAGTTTAGGGTCTCTCCCCAAATGCTGCCAAGAATCCGTCCCGAATCCCCCTGCTCGCCGGTGCCTGGCCTGGCGAGCCGGCTGCCATCTTCTCGCCCCCCTTAGCTGGCCTCTGGACGCGCCGTCTCTGGCTGGGTTCTGATAGCTGCCAGGGGCCACGCCAGGCAAGACATCACGCCAGTGACAGGGACGTGTGTGGCGCTCTTTCAGACCTGGCCCCCACCTGTGTTCTCACAGCGACACCGCCCTCCGCCCAGGGCCCAAGCCCGGAGCTGCCTTCAGTCGTCTGAGTCTCACCGTGACAAATCATTTGTCACGAATCCTTCTTTCTTCCCGCTCCACGGTCTAAGCTGCCGCTGTTCCCTGTAGGGTGACCAGACGGGTCCCGGCCAGCTCCTTCCACCTGCTCTTGCATCCCCCAGTCCTGCCTCGACGTGGCTCTCGGAAGGAAGGTTCTGCAGTGGGGGAGGGGCTCTGGGCTCGTGGTTTGAATTCTAGCTCCGCCTCCCCCAGCGATGCCACCTTGGGCAAGCTCCTTCGCCCGCTTTAGCTGCGGTTCTCTCATCTGGAAAGTGGGGGTAACAATAAACAGTGCCCGTCCCGTGGGATAACTGTGAGGATTAAAGTATCGTGGACGTGCTGTTCAATGAGCCTTAGTGATTATTACGAAGCTGCACATCTAACCAAAGCTGAAACCCTCTCGGAGCAGATGGACACACCCAGGGCACGACCCAGAAATGTGGACCTGGCACTTGAGACCCTCCAGGACCTGGTCCTGCATCCTCTCCTCTCACCTGCCTTCTGAGTTTCAGTCCCCCCACGCCCTGCTCCACCTCCTCCCCACCCACCTGCCTAGTTCTGCTTAGATCCACACGCTCGGGGAGGCCCCCCAGCATCCCCCAAGTGGGTCCTGTTTTCTCGCTCAGATCTTTTATTTAATGTCAGTTTCCCTAACTTGACTGTGAACTCCGAGAGGCCAGAGACCCTGTCTAGTGTCTGACATGGAGGTTCTCGACATGTGTGTGGGACAGAAAAAGGGGCCTCCACGGGGTCGGGAGCTGAGGACTGTGGGCCCTGGTCCGCCCCTAACTTGCTGGTGGTCCTGGACCGTCCTTGGTCCAGGGGCTCCTCGGGCTCGCTGCCAGCTCTCCTGTCCTCCCTGACACATGGGCCTTTCCGCTTAGGCTTGGGCCATGTGGAGAGTTCTGGCCAATGCGTGGGGAGGCGGAAGGGACGTGCTGCTTCCACTGGGAGCCAGTGAAGGGCAAATGTGGCTTCTCCACGCCCTCTTCTCCTGCGATGCCGGGAGCCACTCACTCCGATGGCAGAGCCTGTTAAGACGGGTCCCTGAGTGACAGTGAGGAGCCCGGCCCTGTGATGACCCAGGATGGGTGTGTAGCGTGAGCGAGAAACAGACTTGGGCTGTCTGAATGGCACGAACGGCGAAGTTCGCTCGCTACAGCTGCACAGACGCATCCTCCTTGGATACTTATTTCCTGTCCGTAAGATGTCCCCTCCAGAACAGTCCTGTTTGAAACGTGGTCCATGGGCCAGCAGCACTGGCATTGCCGAGTTCTCCGGCCCAACTGCAGGCCCAGAATCAGAACCTCTGGGATGGGGCCCAGAAAGCCAGCTGGTCTCTGCAGCTATGCTTAGGGATGCGAAATGCAGAAGGATGCAAACGTAATGAGCACAGTCCCCTGAGGCCGCTGCAAAGCAGAGCTGATTAAGTAGGCCTGGGGTGGGGCTTTTTCCAGACTGGACATTTCCAACAGATTCCCAGGTGACACCCGGGCTGCTGGCGAGGGACCGGGCTCAGAGCAGCCGGGTAGCAGAGTGTTCAAGACACGATGGGAAAAAGCCCCCAAAGGGGCGGGCACTTGATTCTGGGGCAGAAAACAAAGGAGCACAAATCTGAAAGAGAGCTCGACTTGCTCCTGACTCAGGACAAGCCCCCACGGGCGGGGGGGGGCTGGAATAGGGGGTCGGAGCTGGGGGGTAGCGGGGAAGTACTTCCCCGGAGGCGCTGGTGGGAGCTGGGTCTTCCCGACCCCAAGATCGGCGACTACCGTGTTGCCATGCTAACGAGCGCATGACACATGTCCCCTTGCCCTTAACACCCTGGTGACCGAGGTGGCTGCTACTCCTTTCCACACCACAGAGGTGGGAAGACGCCCAAGGTCACCTGGACGTGAGGGGCAGTGGCTGCTTGAGCCCAGGGGCCCCAGGTGTCATCTGCCACCACCTCCCAGCCCGGTGAAGTCTTCAGAGAGCCAGAGTCCCGATGCGAGGCACGGTTACGTCTGTCACTGTGGCTGCTGAAGAGCAGAGCGAACTGAATTGACCGGCAAGTGTCCCCCGACACGGCTGGCGTCCTGCGCCTGAGCTCTGCTGTGGCGTCTGGCCCCAGGCCGGGCCCCTCATTAGCCTTTCCATCACCGGTGGGCGATCTGGCCACACGAAGACTCTTTTTCAAAAGGTCCAGTATAAAGAGCTCCCTCAATTGCCGAATGGTGGCATTTTTTTCCGGTACTGACACAATCATTTAATTTCTTCAATTTGCCACCA